TCCATTTTTCAATTTATTCCCACTGTCTTCCTACTACTCTGCAGACTTTGTTAATCTGTAATGAAGTCATCATTCATTGTAAACACAATCTGGCACGATTAGTGACCAGTCATAGATAGAATCACAGAATCATTAAGGTTGGAAAAGACCTTTAAGATAACCTAGACCAGCCATCAGCCCATCCTCACCATGTCCACTAAGCATGTTCCTTAGTGCTGCTTCTACACATTTCTTGAGTACTTCCAGGAACAGTGACTCCACTGCTTCTCTGGACAGCCTGTTCCAATGCTTGACCACTCTTTCTGAGAGGAGTTTGTTCCTAATATTCAACCCAAATCTCCCCTGACACAATTTGAGGCCATTGCCTCTCATTCTATCACCAGTTACCTGGGAGAAGAAACTGACCCCTTGTGCCACCTCAGCTCTTAGAGATGCTTCCAATGGTGCACACAGCTGGAGCCAGCCAGAGACAGAATCTTTAAAATTGTTGGAATAACACAGAGGAGGAATGGAGGCAACTTTAAGGAGGTAGGAAGGGCCAACTAAAGGAGATGACTGAAATGATCTAATGGAATTTAATCAGCTGCAGGTGTGTTGTGTTTTCAAATTTTATTTTATTTTAAATAACTCAGAAGACCAAGAGGAGTTTGTATAACTTCTATAAACTGAGATAAAACAACACATTTTTTTATCCCAGGACATATTGTTAATGTCATTACAGCTTCAATCATACTGACAGTAAGCTGCCAAAAGCCATGGATATATGTATGTTTTCAACTATGCTGAAGTGCCAGGTGATACTCCATGAATGGAGTGAAATGTCCACTTTTCCCACCAGTTGTAATCATTTATTCATTTGTGAAGCTAAAATGGATACCACAGGCAGTTGTACTGCTAAGTAAATCAGTCTGTGGATAGAAGTGTGTGCTTGTATGTGTGGTTCTGCATGTATGGTTAAAGGGGCTGAGAGAAAAAGGGGCCAACTTGATAGTAAAGGGGACAGTTTTCTTAAAAATGAGAGGGAGGAAATATTAAAAAAAAAACTGTTACAAACTTTTAATGGTACAGTATAAACTATTTCCATGAAGCTTTTTATAGACAAACTGTTTCAAGCTATTAAAAAAAACAAAAAAACAAAAAACAAAAAAACAAAACTATGTTCTTTTAACAAGACCAAGATAGTACAAAACATTAAAGGAATTCTTAAAACGTTTTAAAAACTTACCAGTGACCTCAGTATGGTCCTATTTAGGATACTCTGGGGAACATGTGTATGAAATACAATGTGGTTTGAGGTTTTCCAAACAAAACAAACTTAAAAGAGAATGCAATTTTAATAGAAACTATTCAGATTCTATTCAGAATGGCTTTTTGTTTGTTTTGTTTAAAACATCATTCTCCCCTGATTTTGTAACATGATTTCTTTCACAGTCCTTATACAGTGTCATTACTTTAATCAAGTGACTGACTTGTATTGGAAGCAACAAACCCAAAACTATTATAAGCAGTTTGTTAGCTAATGTTTTACCAGACTAAATCAATGCTTGTTGATGAATTTTTCTGTATCAATGCTTCCAGCTGAAAATAAATTTGAAAGCCGTGCAGTGGTACTCATTTTTTTTCCCCCTCTTTCAAAGCAGTTACAGTCATACCACACAAGTTGAGTACATCAGGTGTAAGACATCACCCTGATGCATCACTTCTGAGAAATATGGGGAGGGAAATATCGGAGCTGAAATATCACAGCTGGCCCTGATTTCAGCTCCTGCCAAACACCTGCAGACTCTAAAAGGATACCAAAACAAAACTCCACCCTGTGGCAAGAGGCCATCCCTTAACAACCCTTCCCTGACTTTGCATCACTATAAAAATTAATATAACATTTTTTACAGAAACCTTAGTCTTCCTGTCCCAGAAGACTGTTACAGTTCCTTTAGACATTTTCCTGAATGTGCCTGGGGAAAAAAAAAACAGCAACCCAAAATAAAAAAATCTCCCCCCAAACCAGGAAGAAAACCAGAAACCATATATTCAAATATATTGAATTATTGAAAATATTTGATACCTGGGAATCATCTGACGTTTTCAGTTTATTATTTGTGGAAACTCACAAAGCTGGTAGTTTTTTTTTTATTAACCTCCAGCTCATTTCTTATTTTGGAAGTTGTTCCACTTGAAAACATCCTGGCAAAAATTTCCTTGCATCTGGTGAAAGCTTCTGCAACTGACTAGTGTTGTGAATGCACAGAACAGAAAAAGATAGTAGGGTGTTTTTATTTATTTTTTTAAAGAATCTCATGTGTGGCTGTTGATGTCTTATTTGGTTGTTTTTGTCTTTTTTTTTTTTTTTTTTTCTCCCTACAAATATGGTGATGGATTTTACGGGACATGTTTTTAATTGTTATTTCTTTGTTGAAAGAGACTTTTATGGCCCGCTGAGCGCTATCCTGATTCAAATGAAATTATATTCATGTCCATAATGCTGCAGATATTTATTTATTTATTTGCTTTTACAAGAAGAGGTTTCTCTAGCTGAAAGGCAGTTGGATGAAAGCCTGAGGTAATACACTGTGTCTAGAAGTAATTCTTAACAGGCAAAAGAAAAAGAGAAATTTAATTTTGCGTTTGTCTATTAAGTGCTAAAACTGGTTGGAAATGTTTGATGGAATGTTTTTTTTTTTTTTTTTCCATTTAAAAATGCCATCTTATTGAAAGTGAAGCGTACACACAAAGGTATCTGCAGTTTAATTCTGTCTTGAAACAGAGATGGAACTCATTCCTGCCTGCTTTGCTAAGTTGGAAGTGTGCACTGCCTAGCTTAGACTTGGTGTTTCAATACAAATTAGGTACTTCAGTTTTTAAATTCTGTGTGGTTGAAGAGATGCACCAACCATACCAAGTCCTTCAAAAGTAGCTCGTTCATACTCAATTAAAAATCTTTTCAAGCTTTTTGGTCCGTGGGAAATTTAGGGTAGTGGAGGCTGTTCTGAAGTGGATGGCATTAAGGAATGGAACACAGTTTGAAGAAATAGAATGGAAATTCTAGTTCTAGTATGCAATTCACACATAATACACAGAAAGCCTGCATAATTGTGTACATGAGGAAGCTCCACGTCCAGATGTTACAAGGAGGGCTCAAAAAGAGACATCAAGAAGTCTTAAATTTTTAGCTGTAGTGAAAGGTGATCCAGAAAAGTGACTGTGGTGTAGTGGATGTGCATTTTTGTTGTCCCATTTCTTTTAAGGATGCATTGGAGATGCTGGCTGTTAATAACAAGGGATGAAGTCCCAGGCAGTGCATGCAAAAGATAAGCTTCTGCCTGCTGCCGTGTATTCTGGTCCTTGTTGGGCCAGAAGTGTTCAAAACTGATCATTAAACGTCTGCTCCTCACTTGTTTTGAGTGCCTGTGTTGTGACACTGTATGCGAAGCATACAGCATCCATTGGAGGTGAATGAAGCTCTTGTAAACATATTTGGTCACTTTAAAATGTAGCATCCTTGAAAAAGACCTAACGTAGCAGTTTTATCCTTAGATTTCCCAGTGTTTGTGTTTCTTACCTGTGAAACTAGGACTCAAGGTAGTATGTAAGGACAGGGAAGTTATGCTTCTGGAAAGTATAGCTTTATATACTTTATAGCTCTCTCTAAAGTGAAAGCACCAGAGAAATAACCCTTCAGGAAGATGTATTTTTTTTAGTGTGATTTGAGTGAGAAATATTAAAGTAAGGCCTGGAACTATACCTTACTTAAGAGAAATAGGAATACATTTGAAACTTGTTTACTGCACTGAAGAAGGGAGAAGCCAGACAGAGAAAAAAAGTCTGAGCATGCACTTAAAACTTGTTGTGTATTTCTTTTGTGCAAGCAAGTAAGCAATGCTTAATAACTCCTCTAATTTCTTTTAAAATGCAGATGTCTGTGAACTTTGTCTCTTAGCTGGTACTGTTCACACATTTGTTCAATTGGAAAAAGGGTAGCATGAATGTTTTTTGGTAATGGAGAATAAGTTCTCTGAAGCATCGTGTTAGTGACCTGTTTTCACAAAAGTTTATTGTGTTTAAAAATTACATTTTAGTCATCGTAATTCAAAGAGTCACCTGGCTGTTTTGGAAACACCCTTCTAGGAGGAGACTAGCCAAAAAGCTGTGTTTTGCAGCAAAAAGCATAGTGAAGAAAATCTATTTTTTAAACTTCATAGGCTTTGTTAGGTCTCAGCATCAGGAATCAGTAATACCCATGCCTCTCAAACTCCTAGAGTAGTTTCTGTCCCAGAAAGAGTTGCATATTGCTTCCCTGCCATTCACTAAAGTGCTGTCAATTCTTTGGTTTCAGAGAACCTGTATTTGATGTCTTACTCTCCTTAAGGTAATGCCATCCAACATTAGCCTGATGTAGTTGGGTGTAGTGAGTTCAGTTATTTGTAACTTAGAAATCCCTCACTGAGCTTTTGTTCATATAAGCTGTGAAACTTGCAGGTCTTGTAATTTAACTTTTAATTAAGTCAGTTGTTGCATTTATCCAAAGTTGGATGACTCTCAAGTCTGTTATGTGTATAGGCATGGTTAAGTGCATGTATATTCTATGAAGCCTTGCAGCCTGAACAGAGAGTTTGTACACTGAAGTGACTGACTCAGTTGATTGTTTAAAAGTTTCTTCATCAGGGTGTTTGCTGAATCCCTGATGCAGAATAGTGGATACATGATGCAGAACATGGATATTCTTTACTTTCCCGACTGTATGTAAATCATGTTTAAGAAAACTTTTTATTTTTTTATTTATTTTAAGATATTTTTCTTAAGTAGATGCGTATCTGCTTACTAAACAAAATTTATAGTAGGGTCAATGATAAACACTGTCATTTCAGAACTGAATTTCAGGTTTCTCTCTCTCTCTCTCTGTACTGCCTCCAGCAAACAGTTACAGTTTGGGCTTCTTACTGTATTTTTACATTTTCAAAAATAATTGTCACCCTCTGAGGGCTGGAGCACCTTTCCTTCACTATGAGGAAAGGTTGAGGGAACTGGGCCTGTTCAGCTTGGAGAAGAGAAGGCTGCAGGGAGACCTCATGGTGGCCTTCCAGTACATGGAGGGAGCGAATAAACAGGACGGGGAACGGCTGTTTGTGAGGGTGGGTGGTGATGGGACAAGGGGAATGGTTTTAAACTGAGACAGGGGAGGTTTAGGTTGGATATGAGGAGGAAGTTTTTCATCAGAGGATGGTGAGGCACTGGCACAGGTTGCCCAAGGAGGCTGTGGATGCCCCATCCCTGCAGGCATTCAAGGCCAGGCTGGATGTGGCTCTGGGCAGCCTGGGCTGCTGGTTGGCGACCTGCACACAGCAGGGGGTTGGAACTGGATGAGTGCTGTGCTCCTTTGCAACGCAGGCCATTCTGTGATTCTTTGGTCTATTTATGAAGATAGATATTGTGGACTGACTTATTTTTTCTTTATTGTCTTGTTGTATGACAAGGCCTAGCCTCCTCTCCCACCCCCTCTCCCCACAGGAAGCCAGTGAACAGTGAGGAGTTGCTGCTTGACTGAGATAAAAATAAAGAATTTTACCAAAAATGGTAAAGGAATGTGAGATAATACAATATAAAAGGAATCAAGAATAATAAATCAAATGGGAACAGAAGAGCTTCCTACGAATATGCTGCAAGCATGGCAGTGGGGAGCAAAAGAGAGCATTGCATCACTACGTAACTGTGTATCTCCCTCCCAGAAATATGCGGGAAGTAGCAAAGTGCTCTGGAGACTGTAGTCCTCCCTTAGCAGCTGTCCCAATTCCATCACTTTATTGCATGATGTCATGATATGGAATACCTACGGAAGACCATGGCGATGGGTTGAATTTTTCTTTCCTGTCTCAGAGACCCTAAAGGCTAGCATTTGTCATTGGTCTGGTTTGTGGCAACCAGGCACGGACTCAGATGTGAACGATCCCAATCATTTATTACAGGTTCTAACATCCCTTATCTACATTCACAACTTTCCTCTTTTAACTTGCCTTTACATGTCAAAAAAACTTTCCACAAATGCTCCTTAAGTGTGCATGCAGGCACTTTTCCAGTCAGAGCCATGAGTCATTCCTGGCCTTGCACTCTTCCTCCAATCAGGGTAATTATCATGCGGCCATCACGAAGCTTACTTGACTTGCTTTTCTCTTCTTCTGGAGCTGGCCTTGGTTCTCAGCGTTGCTTTTTCATGCTGTTTGTCTTGATCCACAGCTGCTGCTCTGAATAGTCTTTCTTGTATTCTCACAGTGGTTCACTTTCAAATAGAATGGTTTGTAATCAGTACAACTAGAAACGGTGCTGCTTTGCAATATGAGTTCTGGTTTGCAGGCACAGAAGTACTTAGAATATTTTCAAGAATGACATTCAGCAATTTGCATTTCTGTAGCTGCTTCCATTTGAGAGATTCTGATGATGACAACAGTATTCCAGCAAGGAAGCAAACACAAAGCAATTGCAGAAACTATGTAGATCACGTTTTGGTTATCTTTTGATCTTCAGCTGATTTCTCTGAGTACTCAGTTCAACTGAAAAATCTTAGCTCAGTTCATGACCCTTTTCCGTCATCCTGAAACTAGGTGATTTCCCCCTCTTCAGACTGAGTTCTTCTTGGAGTACCACTTACTGCAGAAGAAGTGATATTTTCAGATGATCTCCTGCAATGTTCACTTGTTATTATACTTACGCAATAACATTTTTTTTTTTTAAATACTGTTTTATGTTTCTTGCTGACAAGAAGAAATATTTGAGTGTGTATGTAGGCTGAGTAGGAGTTCAGATTTCCAGCTAATACAAAAAAGCATTAATTAGTCAGGCAAGTGTTCCCTGTTATTACCATTTTCCTTATCATCCCTAATTGATTTCATGTAGGTTTTATAATGATTCCAGTAGAGAGTTTGTAAAGAAGTCTGCAGTATCTCCTTGCTGTTCTTGGTCACTGCGGCCAAGTCTTGTTGCCACTGTTTTGAAGAACTCATCTTAAGCTTAAAACTGACTCAGCATTTGAATTTCAATACTCTGAGCAGTCAACTGCATGCTGAAATTTTCTCCACACAATTTCAGTTGGCTACTTAGCAACTGTAGCATTTAATTATAGATTTAAATCAGAAGTTGTGACATTTTGTAGTATGTGTTTTGGGGGTAAAACTTCTATTTAAGTATAAATCTTGATTAATATTGTTGGTGATCTCAGGTGTTTTGAAAAATGTTTTAGTTCCAAACAGCCATGTAAATGTATGTCAACGTAACGAGTGCCTAATCTTGAACAGGTTTACAAAAAGGCCTTTGGTGTAACCCAGCTGAATTGTGGTTGTCAAGAATGGCACCTCAAGTACATCGTGTCTCACATAAGAGAAAAATGTATTTATAATTTTATACATGTGTGTAATGGCCTATTAAAATAAACATTTCTGTTAGGAAAGAGTCACCTCAGTGCAAACGTAGTGCACTGAAGATGATTAATAGTAGTACTATATATGGAGATCTTGAGTTACACATTGAAAAGGCAAAGAAAATGATACTGCTGGAATTTTGAGCCAAGTTTAGGAATCTCATGAGAAGGAGACAAAGATAAATTGAGATGCCAAGCAGACAGTATTTACACTGAGGATCCCAGTTTAATATTTGAGAAAGAACAAGTAGTAAAAAAAGCATCTTTAAAAGCAAAAACCAAAAAATCCTACTGGCAGATTGTCCCTATTGTTTTGGCATCCCACTTTACGATTTAAAGGCCACTTTTTCTGACTAACCTGAAAATTGTGAAGAATTGAGTTAGGAGACTTCTAGAAGCCTCTTAATATTGTGACAAATGAGCAGGGTGGCAGGAGGAAGACATTTCCATAATACATCTTCTTAGTCCTTGGTGTGAGACTATTTCTTAGAGGTTCCAGCCAGCATTCGTCTGAGCCATCGTAACTCAGAGATTAACCTGATCCTGAAATGAAACCTCTACACAGGGCTTCCTAAGATAAAAGGGCTTGTGAAAACTTGTGTGAAAAAGATGACTTCAGTTCTTTGAGGCTCTGGTCATAGAAATAGAATCATGGAATCATAAAATCATAGAATAGTTTGAGTTGGAAGAGGTCTTTAAAGTCCTCTAGTCCTATTCCTCTGAAATGAACAGGGACATCTACAGCTAGATCAAGTTGTTCACATCCCGTCCAAGCTGACCGTGAATGTCTCCAGAGGTGTGAGATCACCCCAAAAAATTGTCTGAAAACTGTAAACTACAAGGATATCTCTGATCTTCTAGAGCTAACCAAGGCTTTGTCCAGAAGAAGAGACTGGACAATGAGCGTTAGTGATCAAATGTATCACCTAAACTTCTTTTCAAAACTGTTACAAAGTATTGGGCATACTTAACACATGATTCAGGAAATGTGATTTCTGGAATTATAATGACCAGCAGAATGGTTATTTCCACTACAGAAAGAGTTCTTCTTTAAAAAGAGAATGTAAGCAGCAATACAAAGCAACCAACCTAGCAAGAAGACCATATAGTCAGTGCTGAACTCTGGTGAGGCCCTTGAAGGAACTTGCTTGCCATGTTCATATTTGAGAACTAGTATCCAGAAGGATGGCATAAAGGTGCATAATCAGTGGCTCACTGTGCTTTAGGGATCTCAAACTTCAGATTTTGTTTTGCACTTTACTTTTCACTTTCCAGAAATCTGTTTTCAGCTTTGTCATCAACCAATTGGTTGGTTTGCAGTAATATTGAAAAATACCTCTTAAGCTTGCCTGTGCCTTGGTTCATAGAACCACAGGAGAGGCTGCTTCTCCTGAAATTGTTAATCCATGAAGAACTCTATCTGTTGACTATCGAACCTGTCAGTTGGACATGGGAAGTCCAATAAACTGTTTCCTACCAACCTTAATGGCTTGGTACCTGAGGGTTGATTTTGCCTTTGCAGATACGCTTCTGCCAAAGGTATTCTTACATTCCCCAATGGAGCAGGCAATAGAACTGCTTTTTCTCACAGTCCTGAATTCACATCCAAAGTGGACGTAACTAGAAACATCATTTAGTATCTGCGTATCTTATTTTTCTTTCTACTACTGTATTCTATGGGGTTACAAGTGAAAAAGGGGAAAGATGGAATTTTTCTACTCTTTTTTGTCACGCTTCTGGCTATCCATTTCACTAAAACAACTAGACTATAGCTGTCTCTTCCAATCAGCAAGATACAGACTTTGAGTTTTAGAGAAACTTTGGTGTTTAAACTAAATCTGTAATGCCAGATTTTGTGGCTAAACAAAACTAGCCATGAAACAAATATTCCCATTTGCTTCTTCTTCCCCCTACCCCTGAGAAATCATGATGTCAAAAGAGAATAATGGTCACTGACAACTGAAGCATAATTTTTGTAATGATGATCCCTTGGATTTAGGAACTACTTTGTACAGGTACTAGGAACAGGCAGTCTCATCATTTTCTGAAGGAAGAGGGCATCCTTCAGGCTCTGGAGTTACCAGGCCTTTATCTTCTTATTATTCCAGTAGTTTCTCTTGATGTTCTTGCATATCTTTCTTGTTTGTACCAAATGTATCCTAAGCATGGTTTTTATAAAGTAATCTGTGGCATTCCACAGTTTCCCCTGTAGATTCATTTTTGACCTTTAATCTATGCCTTATGTAGGAATTGGTGATCTGTCACTGACTTTCTTGAGCTATTTTGGACTATGTTATCTGTTCAGATTGAGCACTTTGATAGAAAACTTATTTTCCTTTTTTTATTTTTTTTTTTTTTCTTCTTACTTGTCTGTTGCTATTGAAAAGTACTGACAGAAGAAAGGGAGGCTGAAATTGTGGAGTGTGCAGATGAGTTAATGCTACTGCCTTCCACTTTCATGGCATTTTTCAAGCTATTGATTCTTTATTTTTAACATTTCCTTTGAGAATTTAACTTTGGATCCCATTGTGTTTCACTCTCCACACGATATTTTCTGGATCTGATATATTTATGTATACAAGTTATCCTATTTCGTAAGATGTGCAGGAACTTCAGTTACATCGATGCAGTGTTCTGTTACAGCTTATTCTCCCTCCTAAACTGATAGATCTGAAAGAGGAAATGCTTTGCAGAGCAATCCCTATTGACTGTAATGACTTGCTGCATTTTTCAGTCTTGTCTGAGGATGTAAGAACATGCCTATAATGTCAATGTCTACTTGAGACTTTTCTAAGGCATCTGTTTTGAAACACTGAAGATATATCCTCAATGTAGAATGTTTCTTTTATTGCCTTTTTTCTGTCATATGTTCTAAGACTAGTAAATAGGCTGCTATAGCTAGGGTTAGCTTTAAATGTGTTAACAGAGATGATATTTCTTATCTTCGTGGTGTAAACTCAAAATATTAGGA